AAATATCTATCATTTTCAACAACTCTAATAAATATACAATAAAATGAATCACTTCCAATTGAAATTTCATCCAAAGCAAAAGCAACTGCATTTGATTGTCTTGCTGTTGATAACATTCCTTGAAATTCACTTGTAAAATCCCCCTCCAGTTCTTCTATACCCGTTCTGGCACCACATGCCATTTTCTTACACAAGTGAAGTTTATCAGGTGCTAAAAGTTTAAAAGCTATGTTAAGGATTGAAACCACATCTTTTCGATGTGATTCTGACATTCGGTTTGAATTCAAAATTCTATTTATTAAATGTTGACTCAATTTTATTTTAGAATTTTCAATTTCCATTTTAGATAAATTTCCCTTATCAATCCAATTTTCATCATCATTATCATAAAAAAGTCTATTGCTTCTTCACAAGATTTATATTCAAATTTGCCATTTTCGAAACCAATTCTAATTAAAATATCATATAAAGAACGCCAATCTGCTTCATCATAAAAAGTTTGACGGACTTCTTCCATTTCATAAAAATCAATTTTTTTCTGTTAAATTTTCAATTGCTTTTTTTCTTTTAACCGAAAAGGCTTCAATAAAAGTGTTTGGTGGGTTATTTAATTCTATTATATCACTATCACTTTTATTTTTATTTTCTTTAAATTCTTCTGTCTGCATAATTTCATTTAAATCATTGTTTTCATTTTCTTGTGTTTCAAATTTTTTGGTTGTTATTTCTTTTTCAGAGAAATTTTCGTTTTGATTGTTATTAGTGTCAATTTCCATTACTTGTTTGTTATTGAGATTATCATTGCTTTCCATGAAATTGTCAATATCAGGAGTTGTAGATGCGGTATGTATATCATATAAAATATCACTATCATCTGACATTTCTTCATTTGAAGTACTTAAACATGATGAATCATTATCTTCATTTGGTAAAACAACAAGTTCTTCTTCTATTTGAAAAGGTCCTATTATTGTCTGGTTTAATTGTTTTGATTGTTTAAACGAAGTTGATTCCAAATTTAATAATTTAGTTTCATTTCTAAAAAGAACATCATTTTCAGGTGTAACATTCAAAGCTGTTAAATTTTGATGATAAAAATTATCGTTTGAATACTTTGTACAATCAAGAAATTGAAGAGATACCAAATTTCGTAATAAATTTCTATTATTTTTTGTTGAATAAGGTTTGTGTTTTTTATCATTATTTATTTTTTGAATTAATTGAGTTTGAAGTTGATATTTATTAAAATCATAATTTTCAAAATTCATATTTCCAAGTTTTTTAAAAATTTGCAACTTTTCTTTGACGTCTGCTATTTCATGAATATAATTATGGATGGGGTGATTGGGGTTGGTTGTTTCATTTAGTTTCTCGTCCCCACGTAGCCACATTTTACAATCGAAACAATAATAATAATATTGTTTTTTGCATTTTTGATAAGAGTGGTCTAACCGTGCAGTCAAATACCCATGTAGTAAATTTTTTGCAATTCTTTCGTCAATAGGAAATGATATATCAAAATCTTTACCATACATGTTGTTTTTAATATGTTATTATAGTTTTACACTCTTTAAAAATCAAAACACAATAATGAACTGTTAAATGTTCTCCAAACATTTTAAATAACTTTTATCGAAATTCAAGTGGTCTAAAAACGGTACTCTCGGGTTTATTTAATAATTTTTTATTTTTTTAGAGTTTATATCATGTGAATAACATTACACAAACCAAAAGAAGATAATCATCTGATATATAGATTAATATTTCAATATAACAAGTCAATTAAAAAACGAGAGTGCTATTTAAGTGTTAATAAAGATAACTTTAAAATGATAATCATGTATTATTATTGAGCTTCACACCCGAGAATTTTATTATTATAAATTAGTATCTAAAAAAGCTAATAAAACGGGAAAGAAAAATTGACCCGTTTTATTAGCGTTTTCAGATACTAATTTTTGATAATAAAATTCTCGGGTGTGAAGCCTAATTATTATTTAATATTAATATAATAACATATAGTTTAAATACAATTATTAATTGTGGTCATTCCTAATGAGTGTTTGAATTTATCTTTTCTTTGTTTTACACTACAACAATGGGAAAACTCTCTTTTAAACAAAAACAAAGATAAATACATAAAATAAATTTAGGTCATAAATCAATTGAAAAATACAACTCGATATTAAAATAATAAGTTACATAAAAAAGAAATCCGTTTTTGAACTGTTTGCATATGTTTATCACGTGACAGTTTGTGTTAATATTAAACTGTTGGTGTATTTATTTAATTATCTCCTACTCATCATTCAGAATTTACTTACTTAGATATTAAAATTTATGGAATGCAAAAACGATAAATAAATTGTATTAAATGTAATAAGATACACAATAAACAAAACGAATATTTTAAAATAACAAAATTGTAAGTAAAAACAATAAATATTTAAATATTGTTTAACAATTCAAACAAGTCGGAATTACGAGTGTTAGACATAACGGAAAAATCGTTTTTTATCGATAAAAATGGTGAAAGTATTATCATCTCTTTAGAAATATAAAAATGGAGAAAATAAAATCAAAAGCCAACATGCGTGGTTTGAGTACTTTTTAATGCATTACTTTGGTAAACATAAAACAGTTGAATGATGCAACCAAATAACTAATTGATAATAGTTGTGCAATAGGGTGCGCAACTTTGAGAGTAAATTTTCATTTTTATGAAATCTTTTTTTGTCATTGTAAAAAATAGTGAAATATGTCAATTTATTATTTTATTCATAAAAATGAGCAAAAAATGTAAAATCTGTCTTAATATTGAAACGTGTGAACATTATTTGATTAAAAGTAAATAAACTTTTTGTTTGTCCCAAAAGTTGATAAAAAACAAATAATAATTAAAAACAACAATTTTGATATTTTGTATTTATTAAAAGACAATTTAGTACGATTGAAAAAAATAAGATAACAAAAGAAATTTTTGTTATATAACTTAATAGATAAATAATTGACAGCAAATTTCATAATTTGGTATAAACAACACATTGTTGTTTTTATTTCCAACTTTATTGTAAAATTCTTTAAAAACAACACAAGCAACAAAATAATGAAATTACAATTGGACCTACAAACATTAAGACACCGTTTAAAATGCTATATAAATAATGTAGTAATAAACATGATATACTCAAAATAACGAATGAATCAACAATTGATTTTTTAATAAAATGATATGAGTCATTTTTAATTTATTGTATATAAAGACGACTTTGACATTCTATTGATTCAACTAAATACAACAGTTAAAACAAGAAGTTTTCGTTCAAAGAGATCAATTTGTATGTAAATAAAAATAAATAATAAAAACAAAGATGGTTGATTGTTGAAATGTAAATAAAAAGATTGTTACAACAATCTCTGTATGTTCCAACAACTTACGGCCACAAGAGACTAATGATGATCTGTTTTTTGTGGGTATTAATGTGTTTATAATTATCAACGAGCCAAAAAACAAGAAAGTTACAGAGAAATTTAAAATTATTATCAAGTAAAGAAATTTGATGTTGTTTATTTGCTATCAATAACATTGTATTATAATGTAGATAAAATATAATATGACACATGTTTATGTAATTATCATTTCAACAATAAAATGTTTAATAATTTAATTGAAAACATTTATTAAATAATAATAATAATCATGAAAAATGCAAAAAAGTTGTCAAACAACTTATAATATCATGTGAATGATCAAACTAAATATTTGCATATAAAATATAAAACAAAAGAAACAATATCATTTAATTGTTTTTTTAACTCAATTTATAATTTTGTTGTAGTTTAACAAGTACTGTTATACCAAATACTGATTTTACTTATATTTTGGCTTGTTTTCTTTTGTTTTTAAATGTCAACAATAATGAAAAGTATTGTTGTTGTCATAATATAAAGTGAATATAACAATTATATGAAATTGTTGAAAACATTGAAATGATATCATTTATTCGTGGTGGTAAAAAAGCGCAAATATTGTATTTTTAATTAAAATACTAAATAATTTTAACATTAAAATTTTGAAGTAAAAAGGTAATTTATAAAACTAAAATGCATTATTACAAAAATAATATTATTTTTTGGTTCGTTTTTTTAGCTTTGATTTTTTGGTTGTTATGGCAGATCTTTTAAATAAAATCTCAGATCTCGAGATTTTGAAGATCAAGATTAGTTGTAAAAATAAAACAATTAAAGCAAAGTATAATTTTGTGTTGAAAAACGGGCAAACAGCAAATATTTTGTCAACGGTTGCGCACCCTATTGTGCAATTTTGGTAATAGTTTAGTTGTGGTATTTTAATTAGAGTAATAGTTTTAAAGAAATTTGTTTGTATTTTTTTGTTTAATAAAAACGTATAATTGTTTCATTTCAATTTTACTATAAACAAAGTTGCACTGACACGTCAAAGTTGCAAGGTTTAAAGAATGACTTTATCATAGTTTAATAAACAAAATCACCATTAACATTCGTAACAAATTTATGTATCTTTTTTATATTTATGTTTATTGAACAATTAATTATTATTTAAATAACAACGATTTTTAATAAAACAATTAAAATTTCAAACATTAAAATGAATGGTATTTACTTATTTTTTGGTTGAACAATTTACTTTTTCAATATAAACTGGTTTTCAAAAGTCTGTACTGGGGTGTCCCGATTTTTTGCGTTTATTTTGTTTATTATTTTTGGGAATCGTTTTTTTGTAATAAATTCGCTTATTTTTTCCAAGTAAAAAAGAAAAAAACAGTCTTCAAAAATTATTTTTTTACTTGAAGATTTTTTAAGCATTAAAAAAATCCATATAAAATTTGAAATAACGGGATTTTTGTTTTTGAAATACACATGAATGATCCCAAAAGTGCATTTTATTATAAAAAGCTGATAAATTTTATGCCAAATATTTTAAAGTCGAGTCTTCATTTATAATAATAAAATAAATAACAAGCGCTAAAGTATCGCGTAATATCGATATACTGATGGTGTTGTCACAACAATGACTGAAATATCAAAACACAAAATTATTAATCTTTTGCTCTCATTTATTTTTTCTTTAAAACTCGTTATTTCATTTTCTTTTGTTTAAAGAACAAAACCACATGTTTGTTTTTAATTAAAATGAAAAACTAACTAAACTGATATTTAGTTACAAATTGACACAAACAACAACATCCCAATTTATTAACGTGTTTATCGTTGTATGATTTGACCAACAACGTTGAGTTTGTGTTGTGAAGTATCGAGTTGTGGTTAAATCAAATAACGGGATCAGGTTTTTTGGAAAAGGCTGGCTAATATTCCGATAAATTCCCGATATTGTACAAAAATAATTGAACGGGATTGGTATTTTTTTCAAAATTAAGTCGGTACTTTCGATTTTTTGTTTTTTTTGTTTTTTTGGGAAAAATAAAAAATAAAAAACGGGACTTTAGGAAGTTTTTAAAATACTGCGGTACAGACTTTTGAACTACAGTTAATAATCAAGTTTTATTAACATTTTTATTTGTTTGTGAAAACAGTATATTTTCGTTTTATTTTTATTACTAATATTAATTTGTTAAATTGTATATTTTATTGATTGAAGGACTTATCTTTAACAAAACCCAATTAATTTGAGTTTATGAATGATGAAATGTTTTATAAATAATTCAAAAGTTTGAATTTAAGTTGAACTATTTTATCAAATAAGTCAAAAATCATTCTAAATTGTTCATGAAAAGTCGCCATTATTTTCATTTTTTTGAAAAGTGAAATTATTTTTTGAAATTTTTTTCTGAAAAAAATAAAAATTTTTCAGTCCTCGAAGGGTTAAACAATCAAAACAATAACTTTAAGTAATAATACTTGTGCATTGAGTGCTTTGATTTGGTCTTCCATCTTCTTTTTTCTATCAGATTGGTTTGCGGCAGTTTTTTCATCATCAGTTTTGTCGTCCCAAACCATCTTATTTAGTGCTTCAAGTGCCTTAATCTGTGATTTATAATTCTCAATATTTGAAGCGTCTTCGACTGATTGCTTCTTCATATCCTTCTTAGCAGCATCAAGTTGAGTGTTCTGTTCTTTCAAAGCAAGAACTGCCTTTTCCAAATCAGCAATTTGGTTGTCTCTCTTGATGACCTCTGTTTGATCGATATTTGAAGTCCCAACTGGTCTATATTCAAGGTCTTGCAATTGTTGTTCCAAATCGGTTATTTTCTTCTTGTCCTTAGCTTTTCTGTGTTTTAATTCATTCAACTCAGTGTTGTTTGCTTCTAAGTCTCTTTGTAACTTTCTGATTGAATTATTCAAGTTGTTGGTCTCGTCTTCATGTCCTGAAACTAAGTTATTGATATGGTCATATTTGTATTGAAGCTTCTTCTTTTCAGAAGAAAGTTGGTCTTTGTCATTCGCCAATTTCTTCATGTTCTCTTTAATTTCGTCGTTTTCTGCTTTCAACTTCTTTGCCTCCTTTTCTTTGGCAAATTTGTCCTTCTTGACTGTTTCAAGCTCTTCATTGGCTTCAGCGACTTCTTGTTCTCTTCTTGTAATAACATCAGAAAGTTCGTCGACTTTGGCACTCAATTCCTCAATCTTCTTATTGCTCTCATTAACAGTTCCATTGAGTTTTTTCTTATCAGCGGCATCGGTGTCGGCATACTTCTTGAGGTAGTCAATATTCTGTTGGAGTTGGTCGAGTTCGGTTTTAGTTCTTCCCAAGTCGTTCTTAGTAATTCTCAACTTCTCAATTACGGCTTCAACTTCTTCATTAAGAGCAGCTTTTTCTCTTTCAGCGTCTTCCAATTTGGCATCAACAACGGATTTGGCCTTAGTCAAATTGTCATTGTCAGCATTCAATTGAGACAATTGCTTCTCTCGAGCATCTTTCTTTCTATTCGTGTTTTCAGCATCAGCCTCAAGCTTGTCTTTGTTATCAGAAGTTCAGGCAAGGTGTTCGTTCAAGTTGTTAATTTTAACGTCTTTTTAAAGCATATTCGATTAAGAACCAGCCAAATTTTTTCAGTCTTCTCCATATCATCCTTCAACACTTGGATTTAAGCTTCGTAGTCGGCCTTCTGTGCTTTCAACATATCAGAATCATTCAGTTCGTTTTCAATTCTCTTTGTCAACTCAGCAATTTTTCTCTGAGCATCTTTATTGGAAGAATCAAGTTTTCTGTTCTTATCTTCTAATTCGTCTTTCTCCGAGTTTAAAGCAGAAATCTTTTTATCATTTGCATTCTTTGCTGAGGTCAAAGCAGCAGTCTTGGTCTTCCCTGCTTGCAATTGTTGGTTATACCCATCTCTCTCGTCTGAGACCTTCTTGTTCTGAGCAACTTGTTGTCGAGTTTCTTCTCAGTATCGTCAAGAGCAAATTGAGTCTTTTTCAAATCATTTTTAATATTGGCAAGATCATTTAAACAGCTCCGGAGTCTTCATTCTGTGCGTTGACATCAGAAATGGTGTTTTGCAAGATCTTGACTTGTTTCTCCAAATCAGCAATATCGTCTTCATTTACGTGCAATTGTGTCTCGAGATCCTTTGAATTGTCTTCTTCGGCAACTAGCTTCTTTTTCAAATCGGAAATTTCGCCTTCCTTATTTTCAATGTTTTTGTTCAACTCAGTGATGACACTATCCTTTTTAGCAACAGTCGCTTTGTGCTCGGTAATTCTGTCTTGAAGTTTTTGATTATCAGCTTCAAATTTCTTGTACTCAGTGGTTAACTTGCTCAAGTCTTCCTTTCCTCTCTTAACATCGCCTTGGAGTTCTTCAATGTGTTCTTGGTCTTCTTGTGACTTCATATCAGCCTTGTCAAGAGAAACCTTCTTTGACTCAATATCTTCTTTAAGCTTTTAAACTAAAGCTTCCAAATCGACGTTCTTGATTTTAATTTCAGTAAGTGCCTTCTCAGCAACTTCTCTCTTCTTATTTCTTCAGCAAGCTTCTTCTTCACAGTTTCAATTTCTTTGTCCTTGGCTGCGGTTCTTCGTTGACTCCTCTCCTTTTGAGTATTGGTTGGACCTTTTGGGATAATTTGAACCAGACCCAATTTCTGAATTGGTACCAAGTGTGAATGGTATCTTGAATGACAATAATGGCAATATGTTCATCGAGTTTTTGTTCAATAAGCTTTCTTTGTGCGATGGTTTTTGCACACATATGAAGACCACCGATAAGTTCAGTGACTCTGTTCTCTCTAATTTCTTCAATTTCAGCAAGAACACCAACCTGAAGAAAATCTTGGTCTTACCACATCTGAATTCTTCAGTGTAACTTTTGCCATCCTTCTTGTACTTCTCACAAATTTGTTTCATGAGTTCTTTGACAACTGGCATAGCATCTGATGTCACTCCACTTGCTGTCATCAAAAACACAGAGACTGGCAAGAAGTGTCCACTTGCAGATTATTCATTGATTCCATCAGTTGCTATCATCGACCCAATGTTTTGTGTCTCATGATCAAAGAAAGCTCTAGCAGACTGTGGTATCAATGTTTTGGTTCATGTGGTTGATGCTTATGTCCCAGTTATAACAAATGAGTACACAGCCGGTCTTGCTAAAGAAGCAGGCAAATTAGTCTTCGATGACATGGTCAAGTCATTCAACGGGGTTTTGTTGCAAGAGAGAAGATGCACAATGCAACTACCATTGATGGTATGGCCTTTTCTTCCACATTCCTTGGGATTATTTACTCAATGGCTCACAAAATAGGAGCCGCTTTCCGTCTTCCATATGGTCGATGTGTTGCAGTGTTGTTGAAGTCTGAGACGACGGCTGAGGGAGTTGAAGTTCTTGCAAAGGCAAAAACTTCAACACATATTGTTTTTTGAAAAATAAAGTTTTTGAGATAATTGAAATCCAAAAAATACACTTTCACAACTCTTTATTTATGGTACATTATTATAAATAAATTATTCGTTATAGTTTTATTTTGAAATAATTTCCACTATCTCTGTGTTAAAAATAAAAAACAGTAAAAAAACGGGAAAAATAGGAATATTTTACTTGAAAACAACTTTGTTATTCTAAATTTTATTAATGATTATAATAAATGCCCGATCTTAATAGCGTCAGCAGTGCTTTTTACTTATTTTATTTAAAATAGTTAATATTATATATTGTCAATTGTCATATTCTTAATATGTAAAAAAGTCTATTGTTCTTTTCTTGTTTTTTTTGCTTTAAAAAATAAATTGTGTTACTAAATTATTAAATTATAATTAATTATATCAACATTTGTGCTATTTGTTTTTAGATGAAAATATCAACTTTAATATGATTTTAATACTTTTTACTATAGTTTGTATTTTGAAAAAACCCATAATAGATAAAAATACCAAACTACTTTTCAATTAACATACTTCAGAAAGATACAACGGGACACAAAGAGTAGATATGCCGCAACTGTCGAAACTTGTTGAACCCGGCGAGTTGCGGCGTCGTGAATCCATCTCCAAAAGATACTAGACACAAAGAGGAGATTACTAAAAAAAGAAACATCAAGATGTCCTAATCAAGTGTTTGTTCCAGCGTTAGGTTTGAAGGGTAAAACCCGTTCTCTTTCCGTCTGTCCTGCCCTTCAAAAAGGACAGATTTTGTTAAAACTTGTGTACATTAATTTGTGTTGTGATGACGTGGTAAATTGCAAATATGACACTTTGGAGTCAAAGTGTTGTAAATATTATACAAAAACAAAATATGACAAAAAAGTCAGTTAAGTTGGAAAACAAAG